ATCTAGATTTTTTATTGTTTTATAATTACTGATTATGAAAGATTAGATAATTTGTTTGTTTCTCTGTTTTGAAATCTGTTTTTATTGATGAATTTTTTATGATTTAGATTCTATTTTTTGAACTTCTTGTTTTATTTCACTCATATCTATTATTATTATTTCTATTAGTTTGAGTCAAAATTTTTCGTAATAGTATAATTCAAACCATATCAAACCAAACCATAAAAAACCAAACCATACCGAACCAAAAAATATATAGCTTTTATATGGTTTGAATTTTCAACCTTAAAACTGAAGAAATCGAACCGAAACCAAACCAAATACCGAAATGCCTACATTAGAAAAAGGAAACAACTACGATATGTTTGAAATAATCTTAATATTTTATTTATAAGATTATTTGAATTAATACACTAATTATTTGAAAATTGAAAATTACACTAAATATTTTAAGAATTTGAAAATATTCATATCGATGCATGAACTAAATAATCGATTAAGCACAAAAAAACATGTTCTAATTTAGAGACTATTGTCTTTTCATATATTAAAGCTTGCTGAGGTTATTTAAAAGATGGGGTATAATTTTTTTCTTGGCTAGTTCTCAAAACTTGGTTCCACGACCATGAATCCGTGCCTAGGTGTAATGGAAAAGAAAATCTTCGTGTAGGGCAGCAAATTTTTATTTAAAAAAAATAATTGTAGGGCAGCAAAAGTTATTTTGTTATTCTTCTTAACAGTTTTTCTTCAATTACTTTGTTTAAACTGTTGTTGTAATTACCATAAAATAACATTATTCTTTTTACTTTGTTATTTTTCTAAATAGTTTTCATGAACATTCAAAAAACTCTTAAGAACAACCTTTCTGCTACTGCACATCACACTCATGATTATAAAGTTATGCGGGCCCAATATAAGCCCAAATCGTATATACTGAGCCCATTTATCTTCCCTATTTTTTCCCTCTCAAGATTAGAAGGAAAAAAAGGAAAAACAAAAGGTCGTGAATGTCTCTGTCCCTCCTCAGGTCTCACGCAAGCTCCACGAGAAAGGATCGTCGGAATCCAGCATAATCTCGCCGCCGGGCAAACGCCGTCGTATCTAGAATACGGAGAAAATCGGTACCATTTTTGGAAGAGGAAGAGATTGGTGCTTATTATGTACTGTAGCGGTTAGTGTGAGGAAGTTAGAAATTTCTGGGAAACGATGTCTCTGAGGATTAAATTAGTGGTGGATAAGTTCGTGGAGGAGCTCAAGCAAGCTCTCGACGCTGATATACAAGATCGGATCATGAAGGAGAGAGAGATGCAGAGTTACATCGAAGAGCGAGAGCGCGAAGTCGCTGAGCGAGAAGCCGCCTGGAAAGCCGAGCTCTCTCGTCGCGAGGTATGTTTTTCGAATTTCAATCTTAGGGTTTTTGAGGAAATTCCGAGAGAAATCTGTGTGGAGGATGCTGATTTTCTCGAATTTTTTGACAGACGGAGATCGCTAGACAGGAAGCGAGGTTGAAGATGGAGAGGGAGAATCTGGAGAAGGAGAAGAGCGTTCTCATGGGGACGGCGTCGAATCAGGATAATCAAGACGGAGCTCTGGAAATCACTGTGAGCGGCGAGAAATATCGGTGCCTTAGATTCTCCAAGGCCAAGAAATGAGAATCTGGGTTCATATATCATCATAGGGTAAATACTTTATGCTCCTTTCCATTGGCAATTCGATTCAGGAAAAAAAGATTTGTTCTTCGTTTATGATTGATGAAATTGGAAAGGGGATTGTTTTCTAGTTATGGTCGGTTTGTGTAATTTGAATTCAATGAAGAAAGTATGTTTTTTTTTAACCAAGCCAAGTTCTCTTTATCACTCCACTATGCATCCTGCTTTGTTATCGTTGATTGTGTGACTGTCATATGAACATGTAGGAGTTTAGGCCTCAAGGTTTGTAGATCTTATGATCCACAAAAGATGAATTCTTTCATGGAAATGTGTTGTATAACTCTGAAGGAAAGATCCATATGCCTTCCTTTAGTTTGCACATTGTCTCTGTGATTTGAATGTAAACGAAATTATACTGACTTGAATTCAGATGTTGTTGTGGTCGAGCTGAATCTATGCCATAATGAATGTTTTCGATGTTCTTGAGCTTCCTTTTGAATTGCTTACCGAATAGGTTTCTACTGAATCCAAGAAGGTTTTGGTGTTTTTGGCTCAGTAGAGAGCTGCAGTGAACAGAAACTTCAATGGTTTCTACAGTACAGATTGCTTCTCCAGCTGATAGACCAGTACAGATATGGTATCAGTATCACTATCAACACTAACTGAAGCTTTGCTTATCAATCAGAACAAAGATATTTTTTTCAGATCACAGCTACAAGTATTCATTTTTTTGGGGGGCTGAGTCACTGCAACATATGTACCTTTTAAGGTCTTTAACAATTTCACATCTCATAGTGAACCAAAAACACTGCTTAAAGCAAATATCTTTTCTCAAATCAAACACATGTACATCTTCTGTTTCTGTAGGGGTTTTGATTTCTGTACTTAAAATGTGCACTTGGATTAGTCATCTGATGGGACAATTTCGGCCAGAAAGACAAACTCGTGTCACTACCCACATGTCTTTGAAGCCCAAAGTATAACTTAGTTCTCGCTGAAGAAACAAACACCACAAAGTTTGGAACTTTGGCTAAATCATCCACTTGTTCGTCGTCGTCATCATCAATCATCACTTTGAAGATCTCTTCTCCGAAGAAATGGAGATGGTTCCGTTCCCACTGTTGCCGACGCCAATAGAATCCAGCTACAGGGCTTGCACCATTCCTTACAGATTCCCTTCCGATAATCCGAAGATAGCCACTCTCACTGAACTCTCGTGGATCAACGTCTTCGCCAATTCCATCCCTTCTTTCAAGTTCCTTCTCTCTCTCTTCCACCTTTGGTTTTCTCTTTACTTTTGACCACATTCATAATTCTTCCTTAGCCACGGATCAAGCTTTGATTTTTTTCACCAAGAATTGCTACTCATTGGCTCATATATCAAGATTTCTCAGGAAACTGTCGTTTTTAGTTGTTGCGTTGACTTATCTGGGCATCTCAGGAATTTTTGACTTTATTAGGAAACTATGGTTGATTTAACTAGAAACTCCCCCATAAACCTCAATGTTCTGAAAGCTATTTCATTTGCTTGCAGGAAACGTGCAGAGACTGATACAACTGTTCCAGATGCTCCTGCTAGAGCTGAAAAATTTGCAGAAAGGTACTCTATTTTTTTTGGAAATCTCAAGGTTTGGTTCATTGGAAATCTTTTTTGATTTGCGTTTTCAACATGGAAAGATATGCAGGAATTCTTCAAGACTGGAAGAAAGATCCAGAGAGCCATGGAGGGCCACCAGATGGTATTGTAAGTCAAGACACATCGTGATTGTATTCCTCTGCTTCTGTAATGAGCTTTGTTTGTTTTCATGCATTGATTTTGGCTTGTTTTCAGAGTCTCGGCCGAGTTCGTGAGCAAATGCTCAGAGAGTTGGGATTTAGGGACATATTCAAGAAAGTGAAGGTATGAGGGATCTTGAGGTTTTCAGATAGACGCACCAAATCTCTTATACTATCTGAGATGAGTTCAATTATATTAAGGATGAGGAGAATGCAAAGGCTATATCATTATTTCCTGAAGTTGTCAGTCTGAATGATGCTATTGAAGATGAAGGAAAGCGATTAGAGAATCTGGTGAGAGGGATATTTGCTGGAAACGTCTTTGATCTTGGTTCTGCACAGGTGTCTCCTTTTCTCGTACAACACCGGTTTCTCCCAGGAACCATGTCCTAATGTGTCTTTCTCGCATCTTGAAGCTTGCTGAGGTTTTCTCAAGAGATGGTATCTCTTTCTTGGCTACCAGTCAAAACCTGGTTCCACGACCATGGGTTATTGATGATTTGGAAAACTTTCAAGCCAAATGGATCAACAAGTCTTGGAAGAAGGTCACTCATTCGTTTTGCTCTTTATCTCTAATATGCTCTGTTCAGACTTCAGAGGTCGACCGCTTGACAAAATAAACTGTTTGTTTTCTCTTGACAGGCAGTGATTTTTGTTGATAACTCTGGTGCAGACATAGTTTTGGGTATTTTGCCTTTTGCAAGAGAGATGCTTCGTCGAGGAATGCAGGTACTTTTTGACTATGACTGAGTCTTTGTTCAATCTCTTGAGTGAGCTTTTCTTGGTGCTAAAAGTTCTTAAAGAAGCTAGTGATGTATATAGTATACTCTAAACCGATCTTCTCTTCATCTTTCCCCTTGAAGGTGGTGTTGGCTGCTAACGAGCTGCCTGCTATCAACGATGTAACATATACCGAGCTAACAGAGATCCTGTCACAGGTAAATGAATGAAGTAATTCACAGCTTTTCTTTTTAAACAAAAAAAGTGATTATGATTCATTAGTCTTCTTAATCTACCAGTTGAAGGATGAAAATGGCCAATTGATGGGGGTTGATACTTCGAAGCTTCTGATTGCAAATTCAGGGAACGACTTAGCGGTAAAACACTAGAATAAGCTCTCAGAAAGAGAAATGGGTATGTTCAGATTCTTAAAAAATTTGTTCTTCCTCTCGAGAATATCTTTCAGGTTATCGATCTGTCAAGAGTATCGCAGGAGCTTGCTGACCTTTCATCTGATGCAGACTTAGTCATCATAGAAGGCATGGTAAGGTCCATTTTATAAAGTGTGTGAAAGTGAGTGACTTAACAAGAATTCAACTAGTCTTTGGCTTTGTTAACTGAGTTTCTTGGCCGTTCACATGAAGGGTCGTGGAATTGAGACAAACCTCTATGCTCAGTTCAAGTGTGACTCTCTGAAGATCGGAATGGTAACTAGTTTTGTTCTTTCTTGTATTTCATGAAAAGAGATGCTTTGTGTTTTCTTAGCTTATTTTTGATTTCTCATTTCCCATCATCCTTTTGTTTATATATTTAGGTGAAGCATCTTGAAGTAGCAGAGTTTCTTGGAGGAAGGCTTTATGACTGTGTCTTCAAATACACTGAAGTTGAGAGTTAACTGTATTTCAGTCTCTGACAGTGATTTTTTTTTTATCAAGAATATTTGAGATTTGTGCGTTATATTGGGTATTTCAGGTTTCATATGTTAAGAACATGAAACATATATGTTGAACAAATTGAAATACCAATATATAGATTCCTAAATCCTAATGAAACAAAAAGACAGGAAAAAGCCAAAGAAAGAGAGTGATAAAACTATACTTGTGATACACTCAATCTAACCACTAAACAAAGGAACCGAGAACAAACTTGGTGTGGAAACACAGTGATGGTACTCAAGAATCCAACTTCCATATCGTATTTGAATCTTCTTGCACGTATCTCCCCTCATGATGTAGATGGAAGCATTATTGTAGCCACAATACATGAATAAGGTCTTGTCATAGACGAAGTAACTACACAAATAGTTAAATAGCCTTGGCAAGCTACTACTTGTCAAGGTCATGAGTTTTATCCACACCAGTTCCTCTTCGTCGACCTTATTCGTTAACCAAACCTCAACCTTCCTTGTTTCATTGCATTGCTTTAACAAACAAAACCCATCTCTCTTAAAAACCGCGAGGTGAAGTACATCAAGAGGATGGTTCGTCTGATACGGGACGAGACATAACGGCTTGATCCTCTCCGTAGGGAAATCAAAGCATTGGATGATGTGCTCACGAGTCTCGTCATCAAGAGTAATCCAATAGAGATTTCCATTCAAGGAAACTATTGTTCCTTTAGCTGTTTCCCTCTTGATCCACTCCTGATCAATAAACTTCAACGCGTGAGAGGCACAATCGTAGATCGCAGTTCCCTCGTTGTGGCGACAAGAAGAATAGCCCAAGATCTTGTAAACCTTTTCTGGTCCACTATTATCGTACCCTATGCCGAAAACTTCGAAATACTCTATGTTAAATATCCTTTTAGTCTGTCTCAGCCACGGATTACAGAGCACTGTCCTCCTGATCCCCCCAGACCATTCGTCACAAAACAAGAGCTCATCGCAATTAGTTGTGCGAGAATAACGTAAACCACCGGGAGTAATAGGAGTGGAGTGCAGCTCACGCGACTCTAGCTTTGGATCGATGCTGTTGGGATTGATTATGTCTATCGAATAAATCTTGGATCTGCACAGTAAGATGAATTGGGGACGGGAGCGAGACAAGTGGTTGTTTTGGAATGTCTTGTCTTCGCAAACACGGTTCCATCGTTTGCATACGATTCTGAAATGGCCAAGAGATTTAGGTGGAAGACGAGAGAGTATCTCTTCCTCCAACTCCCACGGAAGCTGCGGAGCCATATTAGGGCTTCTCTGTGTTTCAATTTCTTTGCTATTTTTTCTGTTAGAAAAGGAAACAACAACAGTAAAACCTTTATAAATTGGTACTATTGGGAATTCAAAAAATAATTAATTAATAAAAAAAATTGGTTAAGAGTTTTTAATGTTTTTAAAGAAACAATAGAAAAATATTTTCAATACTACTAAATTCGTTCATAAGTGTCATATCAATGAATTTGAAAGATTAGTCCAACAAATTTTATAAACTCATAACAACAGTATTCATATTTTATTACATTACATTTGTTATATATCTCTAAATATATAATTATTAATTTATCTAATTATTGGAATCCTATATATATATAAGAATTTTAAAAAAAAATATTATCGAATTTTACAAACTTTTACACTAACAAGTATTAATTTATTGATACTCTACTGTATTATGTTTAAACAATTTTAAAACAAAATTACGTTAAGATTATTTGAATGAATACACCTGCAATTGTTTCCTACTGTCTGCCTGTAGGCCTGGGCACGGAGCGGATATCCAGAATTTTAGTAATATCCGTGATCCGCTCTGTCCAGTTCGGATCAATAATTTTTTGATCCGTATTTGATCTGTTGCTAATCGGATATCCGGTATTCGGATATCCGTTAAAATCCAGATTTTTGACCGGATATCCGATCCGTTTCAAAATATTAAATTAATTATAAAATAATTAAAAATATTTATAAAAATAATTAAAAAGTCAAAAATTAACTTATATATTAAATTTTAAATTTTTGTATTAATATAACTAATAAAATAAATATAAATTCATAAAAATTTGTATATAATTATATTAACTATACATTCTATATGTAATTATTTATATATATACACATATATATGTATATCGGAGCAGATCAGATATCCGACTCTTAAAATTTTAATATTTGTGATTTGCTCCGTTTTTAACGGATATCAAAATTTAGTATTTGCTTTGCTCCATAAAGCTACGGATATCTGGATTTTTTGAATCGAATCGAAGCAAATAGCGGATCGAATCAAATATAACGAATTGTTCTTTTCAATGAGAGCAGGGAGTCAATCCTCATTCTCTCTCTTCCTTTGTCAATTCCATTTCTTTCGAGTGCCTTCTCTCTTCCACCTTTGGTTTTCTCTTTACTTTTGACCACATTCATAACTCTTCTTTATTGAAATGAATGCTGAATATATACGTGTGTTCTCCTGCCATAATTCTTCATAAATCTTCCTTAGCCACTGATTGTTCATGTTCTTGAGTCGGATCAAGCTTTGATTTTCTTACCAAGAATTGCTACTCATTGACTCATATATCAAGATTTCCCAGTAAAAACCTAGTCTATCATATTATTAATTGGCAAACAAGTTGAGCTGTGATTGAGAGTTATAATGGTTGATTACAATTTGCCTCTCATATGAATTTACTTTAGTTACACTTAATGAAATCTATTAATTATTTATTTATCTATATTCTTAATAAAAAAACTTAATTATTTTCTTAGGCTAATTTTAATCTAATCCTATTAATAAATATTAGATTGTGTTATTATTTTTGGCTAAACTTATTTTTTTAAAATTAATAAGAACCCTAATCTCTTTAAATTTTGAGTTAAATCTGATTTTTAAGGGATTAAATCCCTTCACAAAGAAAAAAATTGTGAGGTTAAATCTCTTTAATCATCATTTATTAGAAAACCCTAAATTTCTTTGGCCACAAGCTTAGAATCATAATCGCCTATTCCTAGGGTTTCTTCAACCTCATATGTTCTTTCGAGAAACAATGACTATATGACGTTCAATGTTTGTCGATCAAAATTAGAACCTTCTGATATGCAGAAGAAGATGAGAAAATCAAAAGATTTTTGATTTCATAATTTTCAAAGGTTTGGGATCAAATAATGATGTTAACTTTTTTTTTGTAGAGGATTAGTGAGATACATATAGAGATTTCATCGCATCCAAGTGAGATACAATTTTCATATGGTACTGATTCATATTACTACTGGTTTAAGGGATGGAAGTGTATCAACAGACAACTAACACTGCATTTAATGGTGATCTCTTCTTCACTTGCTAAGATTGTTGTTCTACAAATATATGTTTCTCTTCATCTTGAATTCCAATATCAATTTTCTTTGAACATCTTTGCTCTCTTTTGATTTGGTCAGAGAGTCTTGGGGTCCTTGTTACTCAGTTACGAATTCACATAATTTTTTCTGTTCTTTTCTTCTTTTTTTCCAGACATGATATGAATTGTTTTGGGATTGGTTGAGTGAATAATATATTAGTTGGTGCAGAGTGTGTCGATTGAATAGGTGAGATTTGAGAGTTCAACAAAATAAGTCTCCTGTTATCTATTTTTACATCTGAATTTTATTTTTCTTTTTTCCTACATCTGATTTTTTTTTCTTGAAATTTTGGTTCTTACTCAGTCATACAGCTCTGCTTTTGTCTGTGGATGAGGTTGAAATTTTAGCACATTGTTTTTTTCTTTTTCTTTTTAGATAGCAGTATAATCAATTGGATCGATGCTCCATGACAGTTTTAAGCTGCACTTCATTTGACTTCACAACTAAAGGAATTCGATATATACAAAGTTTCTATATAAAGTTTTGCAAACATATTTCTCGCCATTGAAAATCAGCAGCTGCAACGGGATCGAAGGCACCCCCTAGCATCTGTATTGAGTCGTGTGAGGTATTGCATACCGGCGATCGCGAGTTGCTTATTATTGATTCTGAGATCGATAACATCTACAAGGTTTCATACACTCTAACGCTATGTAAGTATCTGATTGTGCTGTTTTTTTTTTCCAATTATACGATCTACATGCTATTCTACTGATGTTTTTTCCATGATCATAATGACTTCAAATTCACTATTTTGAAGATATTGAAGTTTAAGAGTTTATGTGATTAAGTCACCACTGTTGTTTGTCTTATTCTTAAAATTGAATGCACATGGACTACTGTACAAGATCCTGCATATGAAATTGATGGAATTTATTTGTAGATAGCAGGCCGAGACTCTGTCTATTGGCTCCCCTGAAGGATATACAGATCACGTAGATGAGAGAATATGTGATGCGAGGCTAAACCATCCCAAGGTTTAAGGGGTTTGCGGTTGATGACAAAGGAAACATAGTGAATATGGAGTTTCTACGGCTGACACATTGAATAATGCAATCCGGAAAATAAGTGAAAGAGGTGTAATAGCATTTGTTTATTTTTGAGATTAGATCATAATTGGATTTATGGAGAAATTTATGATCGATATAAATAAAGAGAAGTGAGAGATTGAGAAAAATCTGGAAGGTAAAGTAAGAGAACAAGAGAGAGAAGGAAAAGAATACGAAGAGCAGGAGTTGGCTTGAAGGTTACTGATTTTTTATTGGTGATTAGAGACAAAGTGGGAGAAGATTATCCAATATTGTCGAAGTGAAAAGTAATTTTTCAAAGCTTTTCAGAACTCTATAAATAATGGCTAAATTTTCTTAATCTCAAACTCCCATATCATCTCCATCAGAATCATAATCGTAATCGGTCTTCGTTTCTTATGTTGCAAACCTTGAGGTTTTTTTGTTGGAATGTTGATGATTTGATGCACCTCGAATTCAGAAAGATGATTTAGATCCTTGATTTCATATGTTTTGTGATTGTTTATTTTGATTTCAAGTAATGGAGAAGAGCATAATTGCAATTAAGTTCGGTCTCTCAATGAGTCAATTATTTGTGGTAATGAAAGTTTACCTCACTTCAGCTGAATTTTTATGACGTTGTTCGATTTCACAGTGGCAAGGGCCTTTGAACAAGGAGAGCTAATCTCACATCGTTGGTAAAAGAGTTCTTCTCTAAGAGCTAATTCGCTCTCTTGCGTTGAGGTGGAAACTTTGAGAGAATGGGACATTTGCAGGATAAGATCAAAGATTCACTCTGGGTGAAAATTTTAGATGATCTGGACTTGGATACAAGAGATAACCAGCCTCATATGAATCTGGCTAAAGTGGTGGTTAAAAGCTACAAGCTCTTTAAGCCAAGAATTGAGATTTCAATGTTTATGCTAATACATCATTTTGGTAATTATTGTGTGTATCTTCTTATTCCTCTATAATCTTGTGTCTTCTTCGTGGATTATTTCATATTTGTCTTCTGGTTTGTAAATTCTTTGTAAATCTTCTAAAGTATCGAACAAGGTTCGTTCTATATACCATAATTAGTCTATTGGATTTTTGTTTTTGATTTATTGTTATTGCTTTTGTCATTTTTGAGTTTACATTTTATTGTAATTTAGCATTTCATCAATTATTTGTCTTCATATTGTTTTCAAATATTTAATTATAAGAATTTGACTATTAAAAAGTTAAATAACAAATACAAAAAATTCGTGAATGTTATTTGCCCGCGTATGACGCGGACGGTAACCTAGTCTATTACTAATAAAAGTTGATGCTAAATGCCTCTAAGGGTGTCCACATAGGATTTAAAAGATTCAATTCTATTGGTACATATCATCATTTATAGTTAATTACATATATATTAAAATTAATTAATTTCGATTTTATTACTATTAGTAAAATTTCTAAATTTTAATTAATTTTATTTTTGTTATTATTGAGAAAGTTTCTAAATTTTTAGATAATTATTAATAAAATAAATTTAAAATATATGGAAATTCGATCTTATTTTCCTATTAAGAATAAATAGAAAATTAACATATTATTAGATTATAAAAATCATATAAATTATAAAAATATTTATTTCATTGGTCCACATCATTTTGTGTAATAAATTATATTTTAAAGTTAATTATTTTCCTTTTTGACTTACTTCTATCTTTGCTAATAAAAGTTGATGCTAAATACCTGTAAGGATGTCCACATAGGATTTCAATATTCAATCATATTGGTACACATCATCATTATTTTTAGTTAATTATATATTGTATATTAAAATTAATTAATTCGTTTTAATTGTTATAAGGAAAATTTCTAAATTTTAATTAATTTTGTTTTTGTTGTTATTAGGAAAGTTTCTAAATTTTAAGTTAGTTATTAATAAAAAAGAGTTTTGAAAATAGATCTTATTTTTCTATTAACAATAAAAAGGTAAATTAACATATAAATAGATTATGAAAGGAAAACCATATATATTGAACAAAAGTATTAAAAACTATATATAAAACCATAATTAAATTATTTTAAAATTTTGATCACGACAAACAATTAAAATCTGAATTGCTAACTTAAAATATATTAGTTGTGGTCTGTGTTGATGTCTTAGGCCAATGAGAGCGTCCACATACGACATATATACTCAATCTAATTAGTCTATATCAGCGTTTTTCATTAAACATAAAAAATAAAAAATATTATTAATATTATAAATAAATTAAAACATACAAAATTATTAAATTATCACAATAGAATGGAAAATTAAAATAATTTTTTTAACTAAATAAAATAAATTTATGTCAAAAGTCTAAATCTGTTGTGAAAATAAAATAGAAACTCTTTGTCACAAAAACTAAATTAACAAAAATAAATATGTAAATCAATAATAAAAAAAGTTAAATTAAAAAAAAACATTTAGCATATATATTTTAAATTAGTAATTTATTTAGAAAAAATATTAAGATTAAATTTTCATATAAACATATAAAATTATTATTTAAAAATATCAATACTACAAAAAAACATTCATCTTAAATTATAAAAAAAAGAAAGTCATCTAAAACTTATAATTTTGGAGGAAATATTTAAAGAATTAACACAAAAATTTTAATAAACCAAAATGATATTTTATGCTAATTACTGAAGAAAGCAATATAAAAAAATGTTTAGCTAACAAAAACCAAAACATAAATGATTTCTTATAACATGTCAATACAATTAAAATGAAAGTCTATATCGAGAAAGTTAAAGTAACAAAAAGAGGATATTGACTTAATATCTATGTAATTTATTTAACAAAATCAATATAAACAGAATAAGTAAGAGAATAAAAAAACTTAAATAATACTAGAAAACTTAACTAACAAAAATAATATAAATATTTAAGCTAATTATTTAAGAAAACAATATTAAGAAATTAATTAACTAAAAAAATAAAACGAAAATTAAGTTTTACAAAATATTAGTTTTTTAAAAAAAACACTTAAAAATATATTGACTTGATATCTGACTAACTACTTAAACATTTATATAAAAATATTTAACTAACAAAAAAATTATGTTTTCAAAATATTAATATTTAAAAACACTGGTGTGTTAAAATAAAATAAAAATCAATATCAAGAGAGGTAAATTATCAAAGCAAAAAGTCATATAAAGTAAAATTAGCTTGATATTTAGACTAACTACCAAACAAATATTAACTAAAAAATGCAAATGATGGTATAATTTTTTGAGAGAAGTTCACTTAAAATTTAGAATAACAGGTTATAGCATGTCAAAATAGCATTTTAATTAATTTAACAAAGAAAAAGCATTTATGTAAAAGATATTAGATTAAAATAACAAAAAACAAGATCTAAGAAGAAAATTAGTTTGAAATATAGTTCCAAAAACATTCATGATTTCTAAAATATTGGTGTTGACTATGAATAACCATATAAAGTTTTAATAGGTTATACAAGTTTCTAAATCAAACATATTATTTAAATTTATAAAGATTAATACCTTGTTTGCATCTGGTTGAAAATTTAACAAAGTAAAATACTACACAAGTAACTTTATATTCAAAATATAATAAATAATAAAGTTTGATTTGTATACATATTTACTGCTTATAACTTAGTCAACATGAACAACGCATGAGCAACATCCTCTAAAAATTTATTTAAATATTAGAATATGACAAAGTTATGAATCAAATTCAAACGGGAATATATGGAGATAAAATATTTAAATCAAAACATGAATAAACACACAAAAGATAAAAAAAAAGTGATAATATGATGTCTCAACATCATCTTACATGTTTTAAAACAAATATTAACAAATAGTTGACTGCAAATAAAACAGATCTTATAAACTGAATAGAGGTATAACCTAAAATTCGTAGAAGATCTGGTGAAGAAGCAAAAAGCAGTTTTAGACAATTAGTGTAGCTTACTAACAAAAGTAAATTTGAATCAATATATATCATATATTAAATATGTATATGTACACAACATTAGTGAGCCATTTAGGCTCCGATTGGTAACACAATAAAAACTGTGGAATGGCGAAAAAAATTAAGCTGCAGAATGGCGGAATGCAGAATAGTGGAATAATTAATTTTGATATGATTGGATAAATTATGCGGAATGGCGGAATGGTGGAATGACAGAAAATATATATAATTAATTTTTCATAATAATATTTTTTAGATATAATTTAATATAATAAAAATTAAAATATTAATTATTATAAAAAACATAATTTTAATATAATTAGAAAAAATTAAAACTTTTATTGTAATTATTTATTATTTTTTTTACTATAAAATATATAACTATATTGCAATATTTAATCTACATATATAATCTGATCATTATATAAATATATGTTGTATAAATATATTTATTTATATTTATTTAAATAATAAAATATTATTAGTTATATAATTGAATGATATAAAATATTGATTCCGCAAATAAGCTACCTGAAACACACTTTTCCACTTAATTAAATTTTCTTTGTATTTTTTGTAAGTATTTCCGCTATTCCGCAGAACTCGAGTTTTGGCATTTTTCCGCAAGTTTTTCTGATTGGCAAAATTCTTGCGAAATTGAGTTTTTCTACCATTCCACCATTCCACCAAGATTACCAATCACAGCCTTAGTAAAGAAACTAAATATTTAAATATATAAACCTTTTTAAAGAAAGAACCATAGAAATCCTAAGGATACAAATCAAAGCACCAAAAATTTAGTAAGGATATCATTTTCTATATCAAACATATGCACATCGAAGTTGGATAATTTGTTAGGTGTCATTACTATGATTTTACTTAATAAGATTTATAATTTTATAAACAAAAATAGGAAATACTACATATTATGTTTTAGTTTTTTATATAAAAGAAAATTTCTACAAATATATTATAGTTTTGATAATTTAAAAGATATTAGCCAAAAAATTAAACCAAATTATTAATACAAACTCGCACGTAGCGTGAGTTAAAAGCATAGTCATATATATAATGAGCAAGTTATCTCTCGATCTAAGGTGTCCACATCAGCATAATTTTTATTTCAAAATGGGCTTCTAAATATTTTGGATTTTGTTTTTAAGTTTTATATTTTGAGTTACTATTTTTGGGCTTTTAATATGACAAATTTGAAATTAAAAACAAAGACTTATTTTACAAGTCATAAAATTACAAACTTATGTTTTTTATTTAGAAAAAGAATTTGGAAGGCAAACACATACAAAAGATGGCTGAATAAACTACAGAAAAAATTCTCAAAACATTTTATTACAAAAAACCTTAAAATATTTTTGTATAAAACTAAAGTAAAATCATTCAAATAAAATAAATACTTATTTTACAAATCATAAAACATAAATTTTCTATTAAATAAAAAGTTCAAAATGTTATTTGAATATAAATAAATAGAATATGAAAAAGTTATTTTGAATATAAATAAATAGAGTGTGAAAAATAGTTGGAAGGTAAACAATTACAAAAGACAACATAAGAACTTGCAGGGAATGGTTATCAAACTTTTTAAAAAATATTCTCAAAAATATTAATGCATAAAATAATTCATAACTCGAGGAAAGACTGTGATAGTCCCACAATTAATACCTGCCATAAAATTGAGAGAAATAGTTTTAAATTACCTATTTACAAACGCTGTTGTAATGAAATAGATAAAAACCCAGAAATCGACAATGAATAACTTATCTTGGATATTATATATAAAAAAGTAACTGATAGAAGTTAAAAAATTTCCAAAATATAATGATGAGATGAAGATGGTGGTAAATCGTTAAATTGCAAAGTTCATAGATCGTGGATTAAAAAAAAAACAAAAGTGAGATCAGTAATTTTGTTTCACAATTTTATTTTAGATTAAAAATACATATTTTCGACAGAAAAAAAATAAAAAATAAATGTATTTTGATTTTTAAAAATAAAATGACATGTGTCGAACCAACAATTGCCAACTGACTTGTATTTTATAGGTATAAAGATTTTACTTCAGTTTTATACATAAATGTTTTTAAATTTTTTTTGTTTATAAAAAAACTCAAAAATTATTTTCTGTAAGTTATTACATCATTTTTTTGTATGTGTTTGTCTTCCAAATTCTTTTTCACAAATAAAAAATTTGTAATTTTTATGACTTGTAAAATAAGTATTTGCTATTCATTTTAAATTAATCATATTAAAAGCCCAAAAATAAATACCCGAAAGATAAAAAACTGAAAAACAAAATCCAAAATATTTAGAATCCCATTTTAAAAATTAAAAATTGTTGAGGTGGACACTCTAGATGGAAAGAGATTTGGCTAATTATATAATAGAATATGAACAGAGTTATTTTAAATATAAATAAATAGAGTGTGAAAAAGAGTTGGAAGGTAAACAATTACGAAAGACGACACAAGAACTTGCAGAGAATAGTTATCAAACTTTTTAAAAAAAAATCTCAAAAAGATTAATGCATAAAATAAATAAAAATCATTCATATCTACTTTACTATGTAAAATGAATAAATGTTTTTTATAAATGAAAAACTAAAATTTTTAATTATATAGTATAGAAGTAAGTTTGATTAATATGAAATAGAAACAAAAATGCAAATACTTATCAACCAATTTTTTCTCAATGATGGCAATATAAAATTGGTATTCGATGAGTTTACTCATCAACCAGATAATTTATGAATTTTAATATGAAGTATATAAATAAACTATAACAAGATTATTGATTATATTTTCTAACATAGTCAATTTTTTTACCTCCACATGACATGAAAATAGATAAGAATATTTTTACACACATTCACAAATATAGTCAAGTAGTTCATCATCATCAGATGGATGAACACATCAGAATTTTTTTTCAAAAAAAGACTAATGTTTGAAATCAATTAAAATCAAAAGTTTCTCAAGTAAGCATATTCTTTATATATAAAAACATATCAAACTTATGTAATATACAACATATCTCTTGCTCTGTCTCGCCAACTTTACTTACAATTCTCTTCATTTAGAGTTACAACCAATCACAAAATTAAATGAGACGAAAGCTAGCATGAAATAAAAAAAAAATATCAGTGATTGTAATCAGAATGATAGGACTAAAACATTAGGAAAGGGAAAAAATAAAATGAATGATAAAAAATGAATTAGACTTTTTAAAAATCTGATAACAAGAATTAAGAGAACATTTAGTTGAGTAGGGAATGGTCGATTATGATTTTATTTTATCAGTGAAAATGAACTGTAAAAAAAATCAAAAACCAATGGAATACAGTTAAACAGTTAGGACACATATAACACTTATTGTAACGTATAAATATACAAGAGACTTTTTAATAAATTATATAATACATCATAATCTATCTTAAAAAAAATTTACAATTTAAATATACATATTTTTGGAAAAACAAATAAAACAAAACATTTTAAAAAGACAACATTATAATATAAAATAAAAATATACATAATAAAATAAAAAATTAAAATTAAAATTAAACTAATAGATAAGTTTGCGCAACGCACATATCAAAACATTAAAATTTATCAACAATGTTATCGATAGAAAAAAACAAAATGCATATATCTTATGAAAAAAAATATACACCTGAGCCACTTTAAATTATACAGAAGAGAAACAATAAATTGAGTCTTCACATAACATTAATTTAAAAGTAAAAAAAGAAAACTTATTCTACAAATCACACAACTACAAATTCTCTACAAAATCAAAAAATTATTTCAAATAAAAAAAATAAAAAGAGAGTGTGTGAATGATTGTGAAATTATTTTACTGATCATGCTGAAAATAAACTACACAAATAAGTTAGTTAAATAAAAATATTTAATATGAAAATATAAATACTTACGATAGCGTATAACTATAAGAGAAAGTTTTTTAAAATAATTAACATATCACAATTTATATTAGATAAAATATTTCACAATAAGTTTACATATTTATGATAATTAAAAAAAAATATATAAAATAAAAAAAAAATAATTATATGAATTAACAAATAAATTCGCGTAACACGCGTATCAATTTCTAGTCCTAATATTAAAAGAAAAAGACAGGAAAAAGCCAAAGAAAGAGAGTGATTAAACAAAGGAACCGAGATCAAACTGGGAGTGGAAACACAGTGACGGTACACAAACATCCGAATCCCAAAATCTATTTGAACCTTCTTGCACTTATCTCCCCTCACAATATATATGCAAGGCACTCGCGTTTCATCGTCGTTACAACACATAAATAGGGTCTTGTCATAGATGAAGTAACTACACAAATTGGTAAATAGGCTTGGCAAGTCACTACTTGTCAAGGTCATGAGTTTTATCCACACCACTTCCTCTTTATCGATCTTATTCGTTACCCAAATCTCAATCTTCTTTGTGAAAGAGCATTGCTTTAACAACGAAAACCCATCACACTTAAAAACCTCGAGGAGAAGTTCGTCACCAGGATGGTTCTTCTGACACGGGAGGAGGCAAATCGGCTTGATACTCTCCGTAGAGAAATCAAAGCTTCGGATGAAGTACTCAGTAAGAGTAAACCAATAGAGATTTCCATTCAAGGACACTGTTGTTAGTTCAGCTTTTGCAATCTTGTGCCAGTTCATGTCAGGTACATCAATAAACTTAAACGCCCGAGACGCACAATCGTAGATCGCTGTCTCGTAGTGGCGAAAATAAGCACAGGCCAAGATCTTGTAAAACTTTTCTGGTCCACTATTATCGTACCCTAAGCCGAAAACATCGAAATACTTTATCTTGATCTTGAATATCCTTTTAACCTGTCTCAGCCATGGATTCCAGAGCGCTGTCCTCTTGATCCCCCCAGACCATTTGTCACAAAACAAGAGCCCATCGCAATTAGTTGTGTGAGAATAACGTAAATATCGGGGAGTAATAGGAGAGGAGTGTAGGTCACGCAACTCTATCTTTGGATCGATGCTGTTGGGATTGATTATGTCTATCGAATAACCTTTGGATCTGGTCAGGAAGATGAACTGGGGACGGGAACGAGACAGGTGGTTGTTTTGGAATGTCTTGTCTTCGCAAACACCGTTCCATCGTTTGCATACGGTTCTGAAACGATAAATGGATTTAGGTGGAAGACGAGAGAGTATCTCTTCCTCCAACTCCCACGGAAGCTGCGGAGCCATATTATAGGGTTTTTCTGTGTTTCAATCTCGTTTCAATCTCTGTTACTTAAAGGGTACAACTTTAATAATTAAAGTCAATTTTTTAAAAACATCAAAATTATTTTATACATTTTTTTCCTGTTAGGAAAAGGAAACAACTATTATGTTTAAAGAAACCTTAATATTTTTTTTAACACTGATTTATTAATCTATTACAACTACGATAACTGTTACATCGATGATTCTACAACGGTTAATTCTACCGGATCCACGACTAAAGGCTCTATCTGCACCATGCACCATGCACCACGTTTACCATTATGAAGATCTACGCCTGACGATTCCATTTGCACCACAGTGAAGATTTGTTGTAAGATTATCGCCATTAATTTGCATCATTCTTCATTAATTTGCATAATTAAAAATAAATTGTACTCTTTAAGATTTGAAACCCAAATCTCTTAGTGTAGAAACATTAATAAACTTTTATTAAAATATTAGACCAAGGAGGCTTTCAAAATAATACTAAGAGTAACTAGTCCACTAGTCCTGAGAGTAGCACAGTTTTTTTACAGCTAAGATTATTTGAATGTCATTGTTTGAAATTTCAAAATTACACTAAGAGTAGCTAGCCCACTAGCCCTGCCAACAAAATATCGATGCATGGGTGACAGTAGATCGATGCATGAACTAATCAACTAAATAATCGATTGAACCACACAAAAAAAAAAACATGTTCTAATTTGGACTATTGTATTTTCTTATATTGCAGCCTGCTGAGGATTTCTTAAAGGATGTGGTATATCTTTTTCTTGGCTAGCTGACAAAACTTGGTTCCACGACCATGCATGGGTCATTGAAGTCTTGCAAGAAGGTCACTCATTAGTTTTGTTCTTTATCTAAAATGAGTTAGAATCATATTATGTTTCACTTGCAGTAATTATATAAGCTACAAATTTGCTACCAAAGAACAAAAATGTATATGTGAAAAGAATTCGTAAAATATTAAGTGTTTAAAATTTGACAAACTCCATCTCCAAGTTTTATTATTACTTGATATGTTTTTTTCAGACTTAGTATTACTCTTTCAAGACTGACCGGTTGGTTCCGCAATCTCTTTCTTCTGAAATTTTGGACGTTGTCACTTTCAAATAATAATAATAATAATACATAACTTTTTGGGTAACCTTGATAAGGGGTTTATTGGATTGATTTTGAATTCTATGTATTAGTTTCTTCTACTTTATCTTACATATCTTCTTATTAGTTTGGTTCTTAATATTGTGTATTTTACTTCTAATAACAGTAATTCTATATTCTAACTTTATATGCTTTGTATGTGTTGTGTGATGATTCCAGAAGATGACCGCATATCATCCATTCATAAGTAAAGATTTGTAAATTATATTGATACATCATTCTTTTTTTTCATTACAAGTCCAATAATTATTTAATGGATTCTTTATTGGTCTTTGTTTGGTTGGTTTAGATTTCACACTTTATTTTTAATGAGAATCTCATCAATTGCCAAGTAAGAAAGAATAGAGACATCCGAAAGATTCAAACTGTATAGTGTTTTAATTTGTTACGAGGAATTTAGGATGGTGATGGATTTGATCGGGAAAAATAGAGACGAAACTTTAATAGAAGCTATGAACAAAGATCTTGTGAAAATGAATTTGTTATTTCGTTAATCGCAAAAGGAAATGATTATAAAGTTTATATACAACCGTATAAACTAAACCAAAACACTAAATTAAACTAAACCGGATTGAACTGACCTATACAATTTGATATTTCCTTTCAAGATGAAGGTGATGCAAAAATGTTATGTACACCCATCTTGCTCATCATATCTCTCAATGGTGCATGATAGAGAGCCTTTGTCAGCACATCCGCAAGTTGATTATTAGTTCGAACAAGCATAGTCTTTATAACACCATCATCAATCGCTTCTCTCACTTTATGACAATCAAACTCGATGTGCTTAGTGCTCTCATGGAAGACTGAGTTACTGGCTATATGAAGAGCAGCTGTATTATCATAGTAGAGGTAAGCAGAAGGTGAGAAAGGCACCCGAAGAGCCTTAAGGATTTGACTGATCCAAATTAACTCATTCGTCGCCATACACATAACCTTGCATTCGGCTTCAGCAGAACTCAGAGAGACCATTTGCTGCTTTTTAGACTTCCAAGACACTAGCAAGTCACCAATGAACATTGCATAGCCACTAACAGATCGTCCAGTATCTGGACAAGCTCCCCAATCAGAGTTTGTAAACTCCTGAAGATCAAAGTTTGAATCAGCGCCATAGAAAAGCCCTTGACCATCAGTCCCTTTTAAGTATCGCAGAACCTTATGAACAGCCTGAAGATGGGAATCACGGGGAGCAGAAGAATATTGAGCAAGTTTCGCAACAGCAAAGGAGATATCTGGTCTGGTAATAGTCAAGGATTGGAGCTTCTCAACAAGTTTCCTGTATTGTTTTGTATTATCCAGAAGAATACCGTCATCTTTAGACATCTTTTGATTCGGTTCCATTGGGATGGAAGACGGTTTACAATCAGAGAAACCTGTGGCAGCTAACAAGTCGAGCACATACTTGCGCTGATTCAGAGAAATTCCTGCATCAGATCTGGCTATCTCAATACCCAGAAAGAATTTGGGAAGACCAACATCACGCAGTTGAAAAGAAGAACTGAGCTGAGCCTTGAGTTCAATCACGGCATCATCATCAGTACTGGTGATGATAATGTCATCAACATAAACGATGACCACCAGAAAGTAACCAGGAGACTCTTTAACAAAGAGCGTATGATCTCCATGACATTTCTCAAAACCATACTGAGTCAATGTGGAGGAAAATTTGATGAACCACTGTTTAGATGCTTGTTTGAGACCATAGATAAATTTGTGAAGTCTACAAACCGCATGTGCTGAAACTGATTCCCCCTGAATCTCAGCATATCTTGGTGGTAACTTCATGTAAATTTCTTCATCTAAATCACCGTTGAGGAAAGCATTAGACACGTCCAACTGATGAAGAGACCATTTCCGCTTTGGTGCAAGAGAAAAGAGAATCTTCAAAGTCGCCATCTTGCCACTGGTGAAAAAGTATCAATGAAGTCAATGCCTTCTTACTGTGTGTACCCTTTAGCTACTAAGCGAGCTTTATAACGTTCTATACTGCCATCAGCATGGTACTTCACTATAAACACCCATTTGCAACTTACTGCAATTTTTTCCGGAGGTAAGTCCGTGATACTCCACGTTGATGTACGTACAAACACACTTATTTCCTTTCCCATAGCATCGTTCCATACCTTGTAATTCTTAGCTTCTGAAAACTTTTGTGGTATAAGGATATTTGTAATGATGTTAATGAAAGCACGAAAAGGTTCAGATATATATGAATAAGAGATATAGTTGATCATGGGATAAAGAGTAGTTTTAATAGGAGTATTACTATAGCAATGAAAGTCCTGCAAACGGGAAGGCAATTTTCTCTGCCGAGTTGGTTTAAGCTCAGAAGGAACAGAAACCAGAGAGGATGACTCATCATTATGAGGATGAGCATCAGAAGATGATTGCACAAGAGGCATATGTTCATCAATGGGTGCAGGAGAAGAAAAATGAGGAAAGAAAGCATTGACATCTTCTGAGATGCCATAAAGATGCAAGAGGGAAGATATCCTCATTGAATATGACATGCCGTGAAACAGAAATTGAGTGTGTCTCTATATCTAGTAGCTTATACCCTTTATATCCAGTAGGATAGCCTAGGAAAATACACGCTCTAGCTCTAGGTTCAAACTTATTTCTAGACTTAGGAGACGTAGAAGCATAACAAAGACACCCAAAAGTCCTAAGCAAATGATAATCCAGAGCATGAGAAGTTAGCTTATCATAAGGAGTCTTATTGTCTAGAGCGGGAGATGGTAATCTATTGATTAAGCCGTTAAAACACAATCACTCCAATAAGCTAAAAGAACTCCAGATTGAAACATAAGTGCACGTGCAACATTTACAAGATGCTGATGCTTTCGTTTCAACTACAGAATTTTGCTCAGTCGTTCCAGGACAAGAATGATATGCAATGTTGCGTTTATTCAAGTACAGATTGATGAATTTTAGTTCATGTGCATTGTCAGATCGAACAGAACAAACGTTCGTATTAAACTGACTTTCAATCATTTGAATAAAATCAGGAAAGACATGTGAAACATCAGTTTTTTGACAAAGCATATAAAACGAAGTAGCCCTACTGAAATCGTCAACTATAGTCAAGAAATAACGGAAACCATCAACAGTTGGAACTGAGAAAGGACCCCATGTATCAATGTGAATCAATTCAAAAGGTTTGGTTCTTATATGATTTTGAGACTTAAAGTAAGACGTTTCTGCTTAGACAAATAGCAAATATGACAATAATCAGAGGCTTTATTATTACGATTCAGTTTCGTAACAGCAATACATCAGAAAGAGATTTAACGTTACTCATAGAAGGATGTCCTAGACGCTTATGCCAAGTTTCTATATCAACTTTTACAACAGAACAGATTGAAGTAATACCTGGAATAACTGAACAAGACAGACTGATGATATGAGCATGGGGACATCTAACCTAGAAGATGAGCTTGTAGCCGTTGGACAACAAGATCAAGACCAGAAGGAGGTTGAAGAAGTTCTTAAGGTGCAAGGAGGCCCAATGACCCGAGCTAAGACTAAGGCATTTCAAAATGCCTTAGAGATTCTACTTAATCAGTTTAAGTATGAATCAAGTACTAAGGAGGCTACACGTTCCACACTGGTCTGCATTCTAGCCGGGGACTAAGCTAGTGGGTTTGTGGGATACTTTGTGCTCTTTTTCCCTTAGTGAGTTTTGTCCCATTGGGTTTTCTCACTAAGGTTTTTAACGAGGCAAGTATTCCCACAATGTCATTGCCCATTAAGCTTGGCCTTGTTCCAAGCCCACTTCTTTCTACCATCCGTGGCTTGGATGTGTCTAGCTTCATTTCTTTGTTTTAGTTGTGTCTTTCCTTGTAGTTTGTGATATTTTGAACAAGAGTCATGCATGGTTAGTCAAGGGGGTTTGTCCCAAGACCAACTTATTGCTCTCTTGTTGACCATTCTCCTTCCTCTCTCTCTTCTCTCCTTAAAACCGTGTGTTAGTTGTTTGTGTGGTTTCATCTATCTTTTGAATAAATTTTCCTTTACAAAATAGATCAACTCTCTTGGTGTGTCATATCCTTGAGAAATCCTGCTTAGAACCTAGGTGCGTCATATCCTTGTGTTCTAGTAGTTTTGTATCAAGAGCCTTCCATCTCTCTTGCTACATTCCATCTTCACTCTTTCCCCACTTTTCCCCTTCAACCGAAACAACCCCCTTACCACCGTTCGGATCATTCCACCATTTCACAACAAGTACTTCATCACTTAGCTTGAAAGGATCGATCATTGCCCGGGATCATATCAAGTGGTATCAGAGCAACCCTTCCAAAGCTAAGTTTTCTGATCCAATCCGTCCTTATTCATCATTTCAATATTTTTGACTCTTCATCTTCTGCCGAAAATATTTTTAAAATTATTGTTCATCACAGTTTTGATCTCTTGTTTGTCCACAAAATTTTTAAAAATAGTTTGGAATTTTTATAAAATTCTAATTTACCCAAGAACTACTTACTGCGAGAAATTTTGTTTTTAGGAGCAATGGCCGGGGAAGATGACCCGGAACCTTCAGCTGTACGTGCTCAGAGGATGTTGGTCGAAGCCCTCACGTCTGAGATGAAAAAAATGTTACAAGTTGAGGTAGAAAAGATCAGGCAAAGCTATGAACAAAGAGAAACGGCTCAGAGACGCCAAGGCAAAGAAACCGTGAGAAAAGATGAATAAGAAGGGCAGGCTAGTGGATATCAGACTGATCAATACTACGAAAACAGTAACTCCTCTAAAAGTGGCCGTAGAAGTTCTAGGCAAGGCAGAGATCGTGTGCAAGACAACTTGGCCGGTCTCAAATTGAAGATTCCCTCTTTTC